TCTCTGCCCCATTCTTTCTGGCAGTTAATGACCTTTTCCATGGATAGCCCTATCCACAGGGCCAATAATAACAATCTATTTTTCTCCTAGCCACCTACCTTCTCATTTTCCTCAAGGAACAGATGTCTACAGTCTTCAGGATGGCAGTTAACCAGATGCCTCTCCAGCCACACATCCTGCTGAGTGTGAGCCCACCAACTCCCAACTCTCTCCTCCCCCATGTCACCCCATACCTACAAGAAGTAGCCAAACTTAAGTCGGTGCCCCTATACCTAAAGAGTCGGGAATGTTTGGTTGAAAGTGTCATGCAAGTCTCTGGCATTCATACACCCAAAGAGTCTGGAATGTTTGGGTTAAGCCTTCCCTTAAAGAAACCATGCAGTTCTTGCCACTAAAGCTGAGTGAGAAAACCCCTTAAAGGAGCCATGGCTCTGCTTGCCACCAGCAAACAGAGAAAGAAGTTGTGTTAAACTCTGTTTTTCATGTCTAGAATTTCTTCCCAAACTCTCTTAGGTTTTAAGTGGATTTAGTTGGCCATGTTGGCACCAATTATTGACAGAGTTTTCTATCCCTCCTGGTCCTGCAGTGATCAATACCAAAGAAACACATAGAGGCCTATATTAATTATAAACTCTTTGGCGTATTAGCTCAGGCTTCTTATTAATTAACTCTTACATTTTACTTTAACCCATACTTCTTGTCTGTATTAACCATGTGGCTTGGTACCTTGGCATTCTCATCTTGCATCCTCTGAATCTGGATGATGAATGCAGACTGAGCCTTTCCTCTTCTCAGAATTCTCCTATTCTCATCATCCTGTCTGTACTTCCTGTATGGCTACTGGCCAATCAACATTTTATTAAACCAATACAAGTGACAAATCTTTACAGGGTACAAGTCCATTGCCCCACAGCATTTCTTAGCCTAATTTTTAAGTTTTTCTTGAACTGAAGATGTTGAAAGTAGTTAAACTCTGGTTGTGGAGCTGAAGATGAGTTAAATAGTTAAAGTTTAGTGGGTATACTTAGGAAGTATACTCTCCAATATATTGAGCTACCTGCAGGCTTTGCAGTGTGTTCCATATTCCTAGCTTTGGTGAGCTGTCACCCATGCCATCATTGGCTTTGATAACTCAGCTGTCTTTGAGTCATTTCTATTCCTATAAGTTACACATGGATCATATTCCTATAAGCAACCCCAATAAAACCTGTTGGTTCATCAAATTGGTCTTTGTGTTATCCATGCTTTGGTCTGTTGTGGGTTTCCTATGTGTAGTGAATAGACATGTGTGTTACATCTTCCCAGGAATTTTTTTGCCACACAGCACAAGTTAACAACTGAAGTTAACTATGACTTCTCCAAATACCAACATGTTAGTTAGGTACAGGTGGTCTAGGTCAAGTATCTCACAGCATCTTGGCTATGATCTGCTAGGGCATTTCTATGTTCCTGAAGCATTTTTTTGTACATGATGTTGAGTAATATGCTAACAGAAGAGAGGCAAGGACTTCTTGTGGCCTTAAAGATATAATTGCTTACTCAACCCAGAGAAATGAGAATAAATGAGTAATGCCTATCTCATGCCTCTACCTACATAGTGAAAGTGTTTACAGTTGGCTAGTTTCTCTTCTTCCTAGCATTTGTATAACTTTGAAATATGCTCACATCTGTGGGAATATATTTGGTGTGTTCATGTCTACATATTTTCTTTTTGTATTGAAGGAAAAAAAGAGCTTACAATCCTGAGAATGTCTCAAACTTTCCAGTACTTAAAACTGAATTTGAGGGAGGTCCAGTTCTGTTTACTTCTCTGACCTTTCCAATTATTCACTTTACCATTTATAATGGTCATCTACCAATGAAGCAGTCATGGCTCTGCCAGACATCTTTGAAGTATCTTAGACACCCCCGGCTCCTTATATATCTTGTGGTTTTATGTAAAACGTGAAACACTACTCTTTGCTATCATCTCACCAGTAGAACTTGTGCTGACAAAAATCAGCCCAACATTGGCCTAAGCAGTTTGCTCCTAGAGGGTCCTGATAATCCCTGTTGGAAGCTCCTAGTAGACTTTCCTTGTTTTCACTTAAATTTTCTTTTTGTTACTCTTTCAAAAGTACATATCATTTTACATAAAATTATCAACATCAAGTCAAACAGAAGCCCTCCATGTGATATGGAAACCTACTACTTTGAATCATTTCCCTGTATGAGATATGGGGCAGCATCATCATCATTGTTGTTCCAGTCTCAAATAACAAAATACAGGTCCTTCAAGTGTAACATATGTTGGCACAACTCAAATCACATTGAGGTGTTGGTGGGCTGAGTCATGTGAACTTTAGATGGTAAGAAACTCTGGTAGTTGTTAAGTTCTTTTCATAAACTATCCCAGTGAGGAGTACCTGAGTCAGACAGATTTGGGCTTAAATTCTTACTTGATAGTTCTTTGATCTAAGAAGTCATCTCATATCTACAGCAATGGAACTTTCAGACATCACTAGAGTTGTTTGAATAACACACATAGCATCTGTATACCTCCTGATGGAAACCTTTCAATCCTAAGGAGTTTTTTCTCAAGCTGCTTTCAGCCATGCTCTTTCAAACACAGGAGAAGCTGGTTCAGCCAGTTCTTTCAGTCAAGACATATCTACAGCTCCTTGATTCTGACAACATGACCTCCAATATTGCAAGCTGAATGTAGAGCAAGAGTAAAAATGATAGACCAGTACTTTTGGTACTGACACTAATTTCCTCAGAAAGTGGAAACTGAAGTGATGTCAAGAGCTTCTCCTGGAGAAGTGTCAGTCAAGGGTACCTCCTAGACTTGCAACTTTCTCTGCCTCCTGACAGCTTTCTTAGTACTTGGAACATAAACTGGGAGATCTCTTCAAACAGTGATAGCTGTTGGCCCTGCACAAAGTTTCACTATTATTATAAACTCATAAAACTTCCAAGAACATTTAAAAACACTTGCTTGTTTTTCTTACAGTCCTTTCTAATTAGAAAATACACTGATTGCTTAACAAATAAATTCAGTATCTAAAAATTGCAAAGTTCTTGGTTTGATCTCATGGACTACACCTACTGCTGTGATGATATTGGAGCTTCCTAACGCACTGTGCTTCTATAGCAAAAATACTCAGAACTGCATCATTTATAAGCCATAGCAATTTCTTCTCATGATTATGAAAGTTGTGAGTGAAAAAAAATGCTCTGAAGTATTTACTATCTTGTAAGGGCACAGCTTTAGCTTCTGGGATTGTTCTTCGTTGGTGTGTCTTTGTGATGAATATGACTGTGCTCACTGTGGTAGAAGAAAGAAAGGTGCAAAGGATAGAATGTTTTCCATAGGAGTCTCATGAAGTGATCACCTCTGATACCTTTCCCTTTTAACAGAAGAATTTTAGATATACACAATATTAGAAAAAGGAAAAGTGTGAATTCTAAAGTTAAATTTTAACACTTCTAATTTTTAAAAATATTCTTTATCTTTATAAATTCATGTGTATGTGTGCATGTCTGTATGTCAGCACATATACATATGTGTAGGTGTCTGAAAATGACAGGTGGCACTAGATCTCTTGGAGCTGGAATATCAGACTGACACAGATGTTGGGACCTGGACACCTATCCTTTGCAAGAGCAGTACACGCTATCAACAGCTGGGCATCTCCCTAGTTCTACTGATCATCATTTGCATCCCCAAATTGAATCAATCAAAAGGCATCCATTACAATCACTGAAATATTAAATTATCTTTTCATTACAAAACTACAATTATTTCTCAAACTTATTCTTTTATATTCAAAATAGGTTCCTGATTGTTCTGATCAATACATAGAAGTATTTCTCAAGTTGCCAGCTATTACCATTACTTCTTTGCTCTCTCACTGATTTTAAACACCCTTATTTGTAGTATTTGGCAGTGATGTCAAGAACTATATCTTTGTCCAACTTAATTTGATATGTAAAAAAAATCCATATATACTGATAAACACATGCAAAAATAACTACATAATGAAAATGAACTTAAAAATATCATGATGATTAAAAATTCATCATGAACTTAAAAATACACTAGTGGTACAAAAAGAAGGCTCATTAGGTAAATGTACTTGTTACCTGGCCTAAGAACATGAGTTCAATTCCAAGGGTGAACCCAGTGAAATGAAAGAACTCTTTTAGGCAAATTGTCCTTGACCTCAACGTGTGTGGCATGGCAGGTGCACAACCACACAACCCACACCCACTCATGCAAATATATAAAAAAGAGTATTAAAATATACTACTATCTAAAACAATTGTGTGTGATCATAATATACTACTTCTACCAAGAATGCACAGGGTACATGGGATGTTCACACACTTGGACCAAGCTTCCTGAGAATGATGAAAATTCCTCAAGTGATATTAATGAGATGTGTACCAATAAATGGTTATCATGTTGTTATAAATACATTAACCAGTTTGTAATTTTATTGTGCATTCTAAACTATTAAATATTTGTTAATTCAGTATAGCAAGACACAAGAACTATTTTCATATATTTGGAAAGATCCCATGTTAACATTCCAAAACACATTATATTTTAACATGACTGTAAAGAATATGGGATATTTCGTTAGAAAAACATGGAATATGATATTGGAATTGTCAGTTGATGACTTCTTAGAGGATAAAGCATCACTTTTCTTGGGGGTCTGGCCACTGGTAGTTTGTCCATGACCCAGGAGATAGCTCCACACCATGCACTAATTGGTCAGCATTAATTGGACTCAGGAGGCTGTTACTACTAAGAAGATGCAAAGTCAGGAAGGAAAGAGGTTGAGAGATCCTGGGGGAATTTGAAGTGAGGCGGTGGAGTATAAATAAGATAAAAATACATTGAATGTTTGTACAAAGTTTTCAAAGAATAAATGATAAAATTCTATTAAGTTTTTAAAAATTCAGCCAGGAAAACACATTTTAACTGTTAAATAATTTTACTTGTTATACTATCACCTATAACATAAAATCCTTCTTGCCAAATTGCCTAATGCCCCCTTTACATCCTTATTCCTCAAAGTGTAAATAAATGGGTTGAGTGTAGGAGTCACCACACCATAGAAGAGAGCCATGAACTTAGGTTGGTCCCTTGAGATAGAGGAGGGAGGCTGAAGGTACATACTTATTCCTGGGCCATAAAATAAGGAAACTACTATGAGATGAGAGGAACATGTACCAAAGGCCTTTGTCCTTCCCTCAGAAGACTTAATCCTAAGTATAGCATGTCCGATACTAATATATGAAGCAAGTATTAAGCATAAAGGAACAGCTAGTATAAAAATGCATGCCACAGAAAGTGCCAACTCATTTGTCTCTTTTTCACCGCAAGCAGTCTTTATCAGAACTGGAATCTCACATAATAAGTGATCCAGTGTATTGATGCCACAAAGTGGCAACTGTAACGTAAGTGTGGCTTCTGAGATTGCATAGACAATTCCACAGAGCCACATGACGCACACTAACAGAGTGCATGCACGATGGTTCATTATCAGGGAGTAGTGCAGAGGTCTGCAGATGGCCACGTAGCGATCAAAAGACATAATAGCCAGAAGAAGACACTCTGTGCCCCCCATTCCACTAAATAAATAAAGTTGAATTGCACACCCCACATAGCTTATGGTCTTTCTGGAGCTTCCCAGGTTGAACAGCATCTGAGGCACAATGCTTGTGGTGTAGCACATGTCCAGAAAGGAGAGATTTGTGAGGAAGAAATACATGGGACTGTGAAGACGGGGTTCTAAGGTGGACACAAGAATGATGGCAACATTCCCAAACATGGCTAGCGGATATGTTACCAGAAGAATAATGAAGACAGGGAGCTCCAGCCAAGGATGGTTGGCAAAGCCAAGCAGAATAAACTCTTCAGGGTGGGTTGCATTAATGACTACCATTGTCTTTAATCTGTTTCACCTGTAATAACAAAGCAGTAGAGAGAAGGAGAGAGAGAGAGAAAGGGAGAGACTTGAGAAATGACAAATGATAACACATTATTTTCTATCTTGTACATTTTCCAGTGATTAAAAAAGCAAACAGATTGTTATGGCTTTGATGGGGGTAAAGAAGATAAAGAGTCTTGACCAGGTAATCCATTTCCTTTTATGACACTAAACAACATACATTTCCTTTAAGAACACTAAATAACAAAATAAGCTACTTTAAACAAGATCTATCTCTGGATACTGAATTTCTTCAACTGTATAAGGATAAATCATTGAATTCTCATTACGATTAAGCAAAAAGAGAAGTTTGCATCCATTGAAGATTCACAAAAATTGCTTTTCTAACTCTAATTGACATCAAAATCAATCAGGACTTTAAAAAAAAATATTATCCCCAGCATGTTACGGAACAGAGGTTTCATGAGTCTGAGAACTGACAAGCCTCCTTTTCAAATAAGTGCTGTGGGTATTGTTTAAATAATCAAATTGGTTAAAAATAATAGGATAAAAAGAGAACAACATTAAGATGATTTCATCAATTGCAAAATCATCAGAATAATTATTTCTACCAGGAGAAAGAAGAGCAGTGTTAAACAATATATCTGAGCTATTTAGAACTTATAAATGTAAATTCTTTGTAAATGTTTTATGTATTATTGCTGTGTGTGTGTGAATGAGTTGGACGAGTGTGGTTATCTGAGTGGCACAGGATGCACATGAGTTGTGTGGTCAGAGAATAACTTCTGGGAGTGAGTTTCCACTTTCTACCCTGAGTTCTAAGGATCAAACTCAGGTAGTCAGTCTTGGGCAGCAAGGGCTTTTACCATCTGAACCATCTTGCTACCCCAAAATGTAACTTCTATAACATCATTATTCAACAACACAATTCATTGACATTAAACAAAAAATTATATTGGTTTTAACATTGCAATTTTTCTTGTGTAATACTTAGACTTTGAAATAATTGAAAACCTTATTTAATTTGAGCTAATTCATTCACCTTAGACATTTTTGTCTTAAGTGTATTACACTGTCTTAAAATGCATTTATACACTTACAAAAGACATACTATCTATAACTATAGTTACATTTTTGAATATGAAGTATTTTATGACTGCCAGGAGAAAAATCTAGCTCAGAGACTAAGACTTGCAAGTTACTTTACATTATTGAAATACATATACACTCTCTTTTCAGATAAAAGAAACATACATACCAAACCACAATATTCAGTACCTGAGTAATGTAATATTTTGAGAAAATAAGAGATGTTTTATTTAAAAATATTATGAAATAAATTAGACTTTAAATTATACATTTAAATATTTCCATCTACCCATACAATTTTATAACTCTAAGACAATTTTGTCCATTTATTTAACAATGTTATTAGTCACATTTTGTATTCTTATACACTAGTAACACTTCAATATTTAAAAGGCCAATTTATATTTAATACTCTAAGTTCTTTATAAGTATCTGTATCTGTCTTCAAAGACAGTAATTGATGCTGTATTTTTTGTATTATTTTAAGGTTTCTTATTGTTGACATATTATTTGTAGGTTGATTTGTGAATGGTTATCATCAATGTCAAAAGACAAAACTAGCATATTTAATTATAGATCCAATAACTTTATTTTCAATGCTAGAATCAAGTCAGGCTTCGTTCTACAATACATGAAGAAAGTTTCCATCGTGTAGAAACAGGGCTGCGAGTTCTCCAAGGTGGACAACTGAGAAAACAGGTGATTAGTCAGCATTTGTTTATCCCAGCATATTTCTCTTTTTGTAACTATTAATTGTAGGAGGACTTTTGCAACTTTTCCACCTCAAATTGACAGAATTCTTGTTGTTTTAGTGACAGATTTAACTGTTTTGCGTCTCTCTATCTTACAAATGTACAGTTTGATATGTGACATTTACACTAAATTTGTGTGTCTGGCTTGATCTGATCTATCAGAGCCTAATGAGGGTCAGTTGTGTGGTTTGTTTCACTTGCCCTAAAATATACACAAGGTCTATAATCTTATCCCCATTCTCTTAACTTTACCACATTATCTCATAGTATTTCTGTACTTTCATACTTAGATTATATAGCCTTTGTATCTTAGGCTTCTAATAAATTTGATTGCTATTTTAATACACAGAAATTTCTTATCTAGAAATTTCTAAATCACCTTAGGGTGGGTCAAACTCTATTAGATATCTCCTTAGTGCACACGCACACACACACACACACACACACACACACACACTATATGTAAATAATCTATATACATATATATTATATGTATGCCATGTAGGGAAAGATCATAAAGGTTTTATTGGTTATTTTATCTAAGACTGAAACACATAGATAAAATATGTCAACAAGTCATGAAAAACTTGGCCACAGATTTTAAAATCATTTATACAAAGGAAAACATATCAAAATAATCTATATTTTGTGTGCTAATATTAATGAAATTATTATATAAAATGGTTATATGTGACATAATTCTGTCATTTAATATTTCAGGTATAGTAGTTCATGAAATTTGATACTTTTATTGGTGTTTCAAGTAAGAGGTAGATAAAAGAGATATTGCTTATGAAAAGATCTGCTTTTGCTCAGAGTCAATGAATCAGGATTTCCAAGTTCCAGAGAAGATTTCCTGAAATGAAAGGCTATTAAATGCTATTAATTACTAAGTGCATTAATTGCTACATACATTCCATTCTTTCCTGAAATGCACAACCCAGGAAAATGTGTCTTTTGACTTACCTTGTTTTGATAATCTTCAACAATAAGGAAATATAAAGGAATTCAGAGTGCTTTTATTTTCAAGTACAGATTAAGAAACTTTAGTTAGTAGAAGAATACAGGGTTTAACAATTTCAGGTAATTGATGGACTAAGTGAATAATTGATAAAATATGACAGAAAGGAAATGCTGTGTTAGGCAGACAATGGTAGAAAATACATGGAATGATCCATATGTGGTATTTGTATACTGCTTCCAAAACTCCTGGAATGGTTCTTAAGCAGATCATTTGTGTAGTTTTATCCTTGTTGAATTAGCAGAAAATGTTCCTAGGGACAGAGTTCTTTGTGGATTTGCTTCTTATGTACAGTTAATTATCGCCTTAGTTGGGTTGTAAGCAAGTATCTTCTGTTGTTAGATGTGGTATAAAATAAACTCATTAAATTTCCTAATTCACTACATATATTTTATGTTTAAATCATTCTGTAGGAATTTTCCTTTGGTGATTTCCACAAATGTCTCTTCACCCCAGATAGGCACTGATGACCAAAGAAAAGATTCCCCCAAAGTCTAACTTATAGGATCAGTGAGTTTATTGCAGTTACTTACAGAAGCATGGAAGGTTCAACAGGATTTGTAGCATTAAAAAGACTACCAAGGAATGGATGCTAAGTGCATGACTTTTAGGCAGCCCCACAGGTCTGAGAGTCTACTCCAAACAGATTGTCTCATCGGCAAGTTTCTTCTCAATAGCAATGTTACTTCTATAACCTTTGGGAGGGACCTTGTGAATTGTGTTAACTTCATGGACTTTCTGAGGTTTTCAAGCTTTTTACTTTCTAAAACTTAGGAAGCCTCCATTAAGGAGGAAATCTTTCATTTTCAAGGGCATTTCTATATACCATTCATGTATTGATAAGAGAATGCATGCAAGAATTTATTTTGCTATTGAAAATTAGCAATTTCTCATAATTGGGGATTGTGGTAGTTTGAATTAAAAAAAATATTCCCGTGGATTCATGTGTTTGAACACTTGGTTCCCAAGTTGGTGACTCTGTTTCGGGAGGTTATAGAACTTTTGAACCCTAGAGCCTTGACTAAAAGAAATACTTCACTGGTGGTGGACTTTGATACTTTATAACCTTGCACACATTCAGTTTGCTTTATCTGCTTCTTTGTATATTAAAGATGTGATCTCTCAGCTTCCTGTTACTCCTTCCATGCCTTCCATACTATTGCAGACTAACAGCCAAACAAATTATTCCTTCTGTAAGGTGCCTTTGGTTGTGGTGTTTTATGGCTGCAAAGAAAAGTAACTAATCAGGGATATGGTGCGATGTTTTGGTTTATTTATATACTTCAGGTTGGACAGTAGTTGAGACTACTTATGCTAACCTCATCCCAAATATTTATCACTCCATCATAATGAGTACATTCAAAATCTCTTTGGTATATTTTGAGCAATATGATACAATTCTTTTCAACTATAATCAACTTAAAGTAATATTAACACTATTTTTCCTAGGTAATAATAATTTTATAAATTAATGCTGAACTGTTGATTCCAATCTTCTCTACTATAGATTATCTGTTCACTTATTATTTCCTTTGTTTTACAGAAACTTTTCACATTGAAAGAATCATGTTTAACTAATTTTATCCTTTTGTTACCTATACATTTGCATTCTTATACAGGCAATTCTTGTCCAAAATAATGTCACACAATGTTCTCCCCATTTTTTTCTGGCAATTTTAGAGTATGGTCTTTTTTTCCCTCTTACTTCTCTTTATTGCATTTTGGAGTTTTTATAAGTAGAAGGTTTGTGGCACCCTTGTTAGACAAGTCTCTCTAGGTCATTTTTCTAATGACATGCACTACTTTGGTAAGCAGACATTCTGTCACATTTTGGTATTTCTTATAACATGTTTTACTATTTTATTATCTGAAAACAGCCATCCTCAGTGTTACTATCATAACTATTTTAGGATACTATATGTTACACCCATATAAAAAGGTATACTTAGCTTTAACAAATTTTCTGTTTCTCACTGCTTCACAAATAGCCATTTCCTTTGTCTACTCTGTTTTGTTTTCATTGAGCTATACATTTTTCCTACTGTAGAATATGGTCTTTATATTTAAATATTTTGATCCCTCTTGAATCTATTTTATTTTGGTGAAATCCTGAGATCTAATCTCAATTCTGT